AGGGACTACCAGGAGATGGAATTAGAAATGACTTCCAAGCTGCAGTTCTCCTTCTCCGAGAAGAAGTGTTGGGAGGGTTGGTTGGGCTAAGTTCTGCAGAAACAAATATTTCAAAGGTTACAGAGGAAAGTCTTATAGATGATGGTATGGAAAGTAAGCAAATAGTAAGGTGGAAAACAAATTGCAGTTGTCTAGCATTGAATGGTCAGAGACAGTTGGAGTACCAGAAACAAGATGACAGGCAACTGCAGAGGCTTGGACATCTGCTGATGTTGCCTACCAAGAAAAAAAGAAAAAAGATTTAAAGAAAGCAAAATACAGGTTTCTCATTGGCAAAGTGAAACCAGTCCAAATGCGCTTAACTCAGGCTTCAGGTCTCGACCCATCGTGAGAGCGGGAGGAAGGAGCTGCCCCTGTAGTTTGGGAAGTACGTGCAGACACAGGACAGGACCAGAGGAAGTGTGCGGGTGTGGGACCTGCGCCTGTTTGTCAGACCTGTAGTGAGCACCGTGCCTGACGTTAAGCAGAGACAATAAGTTCGTAATGACCTAAATTAATTTAAAAAAGAGAATTACTGATGTATATATTCAGGTCAATAGCACTTTCCCTAGGTTTCAATAATCGGATCAATTATCTGAATCCAATAAAATCTTATTAAAGAAATTCAGAATTATTTTTAAAATAGCTGGCCTTGTAGTCCCTGAGTAGGTTACAAAAACTGCTATGAAGAATTACTGTGACCTACTTTCTGGTGATACAGATATCATTATCATATCAGAGGTGCAGTCTGATATGACTACATGAGTTCCATCTCTTATTGAAGACAGCTTGGCAAAGAATGAGCACGAAACTTTAATCTAGGTCCCCAAATTAATTTTTTTCATAAATATCTGCTGAAATTAAAAAGGTCAAAATATTGCACATGAAAAAGAGAGCTGAAATTTAAAAAGTCAAAGCACTGCATGTGAAAAAGGGTTTGTCTCGTGAATTGCACAAGTTACAGCCAACAAACAGCGTGACGAACATTTCAAAGCGCATGGAGTGGGCGTGAGTTGTTATTGCTGCAGATCACAAACACCCATCCAGCCCTCGGCAGTGCGAGACACAGCCACGCTGGTGGAGGGGCACTTTGCACCTACTTCCCACTAGTGTAAATGAGCACTTGAATCACGAGGCAGAGGAGGAGCAGGACTCTCATATCGCAGGAGCTAACGCAAAACCTTTCAGCCTTGTCTCTGCCAGGTGAGATATTTGGTTATTGTATTGCTTCTGAGAAAACAGCCTTGCTAAAATTTGGCTGGAAACTCTTCCCTGTGTTTGTAAGCTGCTCTCTGGCATGGCAGCACGTGCGGATCTAGGCTGGGACATGAGGCTGTGCCGGGCAGGGCTGTCCCAGAGGCACTCGATGGCTCTGTGAGAACAGCTCTTTTTGTGTCCGATACCTCGGAAGTAAACCTGGCCTCCGCGCTGGGTGCATCTAAAAGCTGGGTTTGCTTAAGAAATACACTTAGCCGCATCGGGGCTAAAGTTTGGAGCAGCAAAAGGCAGCGGGAGTTTAACTGTGCCTGCAGCGGAGCCAGGATGATGTCCGCACCGGCGTGTTTCCGAGGCGGCAGCGCTCTCAGGCAGAGGGATCACTGGGAAGAGTGGCAGCGTGCACCCAGGCGGCTGTTTGCCCCCGCGCTGCCCCGTGTCGCGGTGCTTGCCACCGCGCAGTCCAGCTGCAGCTCATGTTGGGGATGCTGCGCTCCCGGGTAAAGCATCACCGGTCCCATCATCACAAACGTTATGGAGCTCCCCCGAGCCGTGCAAACGCCGAATCCCCCTTTTCCCACTGCCAAAGCGTGAGGTTACGACAAGAAAGGTGACACCAGCACATGAGGTCAGGACTGCCTCGTGCTGCTGGGGGACTGCTGGAGGTGGCATCGGCAGCGCCCTCGGATGCGTTTTCACCCCTCCTGCACCCCTTGGCCTGCTCTCCCCCTCCTCGACACCTCCCTCCCGGTGAGGCTTCGCCTTTCCCTCCC